CAAGCACTCGTTCACGAACAAGAAACTCGAAATTTAACACTGCACTCGGCTGCGCCTCGTGCAGTGTTAAATTTCTTGTTTCTTGTTCGTGAACTCGTGCTTGTAAATCCCGATAATGCACTCCAAGAGTGCTGTAATCCTTAATTAAACCAGCGGCAGTCAAGTATTTTTATTACCTCTGCCAAGAGCTGATGTTTTTGTCCACGTTTAAACATATGTGCATGTGTGATTATTTTGGTCTTTTTTAGAAAATGGTTTCTTAAAAAACTGAAGCCTGAAGGTAATAATAGTTATGGTTATTATTGTTATATTAATATTATATAGAATAATTATGAAAAAAAATCAATATAAAAATCTAATTTCTCTTACCAAAAACATGTCTTTAGGAAACATACAATATATTACTAAAACACTAAGTGTATAGTAAGTTTTCTGAAATTTAATGTAGGTCTACATCGCTTGTTAACTGGTTGGGAGTACAAATCGGCTTATGCCCTCTGTACATTTGCATATTCCAGTGGTGACCCAGAGAAGCCTGTCAAGCTGTTTCGTGGCAAAACAAATGTATGTTCATGTATATGCCTGTTAGAATTATGTTGGATCAATTTCTGATTATTTAGGCCACCCTTAGGCCTAAAAAATTTACCTGTGGTTCCGGTTCCCGACCGAGCCTACTTTTTTCTGCCGACCCTATTATTTTTTCAATGAGACTGACTGTGTGACCCTATTTTCTTTCCGCGTGGTTGCAGGCTGCTCATACAGCGTGCCAAAATGGCGTCTGTTGTCACAATTATTGAACCAAATTGAACCTAAATTTGTCCATAGGAAATACGCATCTCTAGTTAACATTGATGTTGGTAATGAAAAAAATATAAAAAAACCATTTATTTCTGACCCTAATTTTTTCACGATGTGAAACTGGAACCACAAGTATTTTTTTAGGCCTTGCATTTTTGGGGGATATTTGCAACATACATGTGGATGAGTTGCCTTAATGGATGAGTAGTTGAATTTTTTCATGCTAATACATGAATTTATTTCTTTTCTGTTTGATGTAGGGCAAAATTGTTGAACCAAGAGGACCAACAACATTTGGTTGGGATCCGTGCTTTCAACCTGACGGTTCTGAAGAAACGTAAGCAATATTGTATGAATAACAAAGTATAAATAAAATGTATAAACTGCGGACTATGGCATTTCTCAACAGGATCTTGGGTGTTCACATACACGTGAAAACCAGTCTGGAATTTATTTATGATTTGTAAACAAACCATATTCTAAGTTCTTAATTTGTATGTTTGCATTGCGATAAAACATATAATAGTTTTGTTTGTGGAAACACCACATAAATTTATTACTGCAAAGCTTTCGATCCGTAAGCCCGGATCTTCATCAGTGTTAATAATATATAATTTCATTTTTTAAAATTTTAAACCATATTCTGATTTATTAAGGTATGCTGAAATGAAAGCCGATGCAAAGAACAAGATATCTTATCGAGGCAAAGCACTGCAAGCTTTAAAAGAATTTTTTGAGGATCCCAAATGTTCACCCGCAAAGCGTTTAAAACTGGCAACCGAACAAGATGAATTTAAATTTTAACATTTTTGTAATTTATATAATAAATTGTAATTGTGTATTTTTCAATTTTATTTTTGGCCAAGTCCATATTTGCTATACCAGTAATTTAAATAGTGGTTCTGGGGACAAACCGTGTCAGATATTTTATTGATAGTCGTTTTAATGGCGCATTTATGCACATAGACCATAACAGTTGAATTTGCGCAAAATTTCTTTGAAGTAATTTTCGCGGGGAAAAAATCAGGAATAATTTGCGTACTCGTTGCTGATTGGTCAAATTGCAAGACTCGTTCCATTCTCGGTGCGGTCAGAACGTAAACATGCCGGAAAAATTGTAATAGAAATATAAAGTTCAAAGTTGTAAAAATCAAAGATATTTTGAAGGATTTCTCGTTAATTTTTCACTTGATCGCTGAAAGATGTCACAGATTGAGAAACTGCAAATTGAAGGCATCCGAAGCTACCGTGAACCTGCTGTCATCGAGTTTTTTACTCCGCTCACATTGATAGTTGGGTCAAATGGTGCTGGGAAAACGGTTTGTTTTTATATTGTATTTTTGTATGAAATAGTGTTGTTTTATATAGATCATGCTCAACTAACGTTGTGCTTTGTTGCAGACAATCATTGAAGCACTTAATTACATAACAACCGGAGATATGCCACCGAACAGTAAAGGAGCTGCCTTTGTATTTGATCCAAAGGTGAACTTAAATTGCTTATTATTAAATGCGAAGTGGCTATATCTACGGGTCCGTAAACAGACTTCGCCAGGCTATATTTACGGCACTCTATGTACCGAACCGGCACTATAAAGGCCTGATTTCACGAGCGCTTTTCGTCGGCGAAATGCGAAATATTTCTCGTGTTTCTTTTCAATTGCGACCACTCGAATAAATTATTTCTACTTGATTGCTCACAATTCAAAAGAAACAGGCGAAATATTTCGTATTTTGCTGACAAAAAGCGCTCGTGAAATCAGGACTTAAAGCGTATTGTTTACAAAGGATTTCAGCGAGCTCGAAAATAGCTCAGAAGGTTAGGCAAATGGCTGCTGTGTTGTAGTAGTCCGCAGGTTCGAATCCGAGTTTGTGACAGATTTTTGTTCGCTTTAACAAAACATGTTTAACTTTTTTTTCTGACTAGTTTTAATTTTTTCAGGGGTTAGGGTTAGAGGTTAGGGTTAGGGGAAGGATTGGGGTTTGGGTTATTTTTGTTTTAATTTGACTTTAACAATAAATACAGGCCGTATGGAGACTAAGAACGAGAGTGCCGTAAATATAACCTGGCGAAATCTGTTTACGGGCCCGTAGATATAGCCACTTCGTATTAAATGCACAGCTAGTGCGGTTTCCTTTGGGCCATTTCATTTAATATGTGTAACCCCCCATTGAAGGGTCTGGATGGATATTCAATGAGTATAATGGGGGAGTTGCAGACCTGCCAATTAGTCTCACGATTTAATCGCGATACTCACGATTTTCGATGCTTTCTCACGATTAACTATTAAGTCCCCAAATCTCACGATTTTAGG